CATCGCATCACAAACCGAGGTACCTACCTAGTAGGTGTAGGTGTAGATGTACCCGTCTCCTCACACAGGCTGCACACAGCATGAAGATAATCCCCCCATCCCTCTACTCACCCCTCACACGTTCCTATACATCCTCGGATAACGTATCCAGAAAAAGAAGTTGGTTGTACAGTCTACGTACGGCGCACATTTGTCCTTGCATCGATGTGTGTATATATGTATGTGCGTGCAGTGTTCCTCACGCCTGCATAAATCAATTTCCCCTCTGCACTTCCAGTTTCCAGAACAAGCCTTGCTTCCAGAGTGGTATTGGAGTGGCACATTGGTGGTATCCATGGATGGTATGTGATGATGTTACACTGGAGGGAAGAAATAGATCCTCCGGAGAGAGTACAGTACAGTCAGATTCGATAAATATACCTTGGAGCTCAAAGGAAAAGTTGGATATTCAATGATTGATTAATGTACACTGACTGACTGACTGACTGACTGACTGACTGACTGACTGACTGTATGGACTATAAACTATGATATCCATCCCAACACCAACTCCTAAGCCATCCACCATCTCACAGTGAACGCTACCAGCACAGCAAGCCACCAACCTACCACAGGTTATTATAATAAGGTTTGAGCAGAATCAAAGTCAAACACCTCAAGAAGATCTAGACTCCCTCTCCAAAAAACCAAGTCTCCAAACGCTCCTGCAAAGTTCAAACACGGCATGAATCTCCTGGTCCAACCCCAAACAAGAACAAGAACATGTACTTGCCGCGCCGGCTCTCCATATTTTTCTCTTTCGCTGTAAAAAATATCGGGGGTTTGCAACGGCGTGGTGGTACTTCATCATGGTGTGTGTTTAATAAATTTCCTCGCCTAAAAGCTGTACTGGTCATGTGATACTGATCCAGCATCAATAAAAACACATCTTAAGAATCGCTACAAGGAGTCCCAACGTAAGATTACATGTGAAACAGATTTTCCTTTTTCAAGCAAGACACCCACACACATACAGTAAGATGGCTCAGATTGCGCAAGACGATGTGATATGATCTTTTTGAAACATTTTGGAACAGTTGTGGCACGAGATTGATCAATTAGAATTTTGGGGGCCAAATATACATTTCTTTTATTCTTTTTATTATTTATTCATTTATTCATTTATCTCTTCCCTATGTATTTTTATTACCGTTTTACTGTACCCAGCTCCCAAGCAAACAATTCGAGGCAAGTCTTTCTTCTTCCTTTCCTCCCCTTTGCCCCTTTTTTCGAAACACCCTCCTCGGACCCCTCCACCCACAATATGCAACGCGAAAGTTTCTCCACATGCCGTGCTCCCCATCTTCCTGTTCCTTGTCTCGGGCTTGTGAAGGGAAGGGAATTAAATTGGTCTTCACCGCCTATACGGCAATATCCTTCTCTCCCATTCTAATTTCCATCGTCCGCACAAATTACAATACTCCGTACGGAGTATATCCCCTCCATCCTTGCACCTTGAGTCCAACCAACCGGTACTTCCGCCCCGCCACGGATATCCTTCTCGATGTGATTTGTGGGTGGGCCTGGAACAGATTCCGAAGCTCGAGAAGAAAGAGGGGCGGAAGTTGGAATAACCTTACACCGCCCGGCAGTAGGTACACCGCTTCCTTTTTATCTTTTGCTTGGTCTATTCATTCATTTACGTTGGAATCGAGATCTTGGAGGAGAGTAAGTACTGTGCATGAGTGGTGATGAGATGATATGATATGATGTGATGTGAATTCATGTCTAGTAAACTCCACACTGCCCCTCCTCAAGCCCCTCCAGTCCATCCGCATCCCCTCCCTCCAAAACATACATACCGGGTGCTAACCCAACCCAACCCAATCCAGCCCAGCCTGCTCTCCTTGTAAAAACAAAGCAAACGGTAAACAAATCCAGCCATTCTACACTCAAACCAACCTCGACCTTATCCTCACCGCATCATCTGCGTCTATCGCACATACATTGTACATTGTACATCCATACATACATACCAGTACCAACCAAGACGCTCTAGCGCATCCCAACCCCACAGATGCCATGTGTTTGCCGCTCCTGCTGCGTAGCCGATACGCTCCACTCTTTCTGCGCGGCGACGGAGTGCCCATCCAGGCCGGCGTGGCGGACCACGTCAATTGTCTAGACGCGGGCGAGTGTGACATGGCAATCGAGGTGGTTGCTGATGCATAATCACAAACGGGAGGTAGCTCTCTGCCGCATCTGATAGGTGCTGTGCTCACTGGTCACTCCGTATGTATATGTATGTACGGTAGATCGCGAGTCGCTCAGCGGCCAAGTCGCTCGGTGATGGTTGTGAAACCATCGGGATTTTGAGGAACGCATCGCGCGGCTAGAAGTGGCATCGTTAAAGCGGTTGAGGTTTTATCTTTGCTTTTGAGTTGGTGATGATTGGAATGGATTCACGATGTGGCTGGGCTAGGTGCGATGCAGATGTGGAATGTGAGTTCTGAGTGGTTGCTTATCTGATTGAAATGCATGAAAAGAGGTTGAGTGTCTTGAGTTTGTGAGTACTAAATGTATTCATACCAGGAGATCTTCTTTTCTTGCTGCTCAGTTTTGCGCTTCTGATGTCTCGAGATCATGGCTCTAGTCCGAGTAGATTCAAGAACGAGTGTCCTAGTATTCAACATCAAATATCTTCGCGTCATGTGTTGTTTCGATGAGGAATAATTGGTGAGATTTGTCTAGTACAAATTTCTCGAGGAAAAGCGATTCAGTCTTTTCCAGATGATTTCATGATTGGTAGTGACCCGATTGGATTGATCTTGAATTCTTTCTTTTGTTGAGAAACGGTAGTAGAGGACTTGGACATACACTGTGACTCGGAAATGAAATTCCTCTCCATTAAGAATCCAACTAGTGTACGGTTCTCAGCGTGCTAAATGTCAATTGGTTCATGTACTGTACCTGTCGTTTGTCTTTGCTTTGGTTTATCTTGTGATCATGGGCTGCTTTATGCAAATTCCTCAACTTGATACTTGGGAGTATTATTCTATTTAGTCTCAATTGTCGTGCGAGGTTTGAGGACTGGAGAAGTCAGGAGTGGGGAGTGAAGCGATAAGGGGTGATTGAGGGGTGCGGGGTACCGTTATTTTGATTTGCTTTTCGATGGATATGTCGTTTATTTACAGTCTTCATGTTCAGAATTCAGGGTAAGTAATAGAAACCTAACATCATCAACTTGCTAGAATCTTTAGGTAAACCCTCTAGATGCTATATCGCGTGAGTCAGAAGCGGCATGAACTACAAGCCGAAATATATTTGAACGTAACACAACCTTAGGGAGGTTATGGATATCCTGAACTTGGTGTTCATAGGAAGCAAAGGGATTTATTTATACTCATGTACCTTCTATTGTCACAAGATTTTGGTCATTGTTTATCTCAACTAACAATCCAATGTTTGTTTTTCCCGGGCACCTAAACGTTGCGGGGAACCTCATGCGACCTCTTTCGCGGGAAACATGCAATTAATTGGATACTTCACCATGGCAAAACCTCACTTGCTACAAATTACACACAGCTTCGCAAAATGAAAACAGAGTTTATAGGGTGATATTAACCCATACGGCAGGCAGATTGTGTGCTGCCGTATAGAAGATGATTGATAACAAAAAATCTATGGCGTTATTTGAGCAAACTTGCACATGTAAGGTTGAATTCAAGGACCAATATAGATATTCATAGCTTGTTACTACGAAGCTGAAGAGGAAGAGTATCTATCTGGAGGAAGAATGGTTTGAAAACTTACATTGAATCCTTGTTCATTTCCAAACTGCATCACTCCAGCCAGGAGAACATGTCTTCAAGTGTCATTCTTTGCTGTCTTACGACTAGCATCCCGAGGGGACACTTATCCAACCTCCTTTCTCTCTTTCTTTCGGCCTTGGACGCTCGTCTACGACTCAACAAGGCCTTTCCCCTTCTTGCGGGCGACATACCAAAAAAATCAGAACCAATTATCGAACTCCAAAATATTGAAAAGGATAGTACTACGTCCCCCAGATACCATATTCGTTATTTTCTACTTACAGACGATCTGGAAAAACATAGACCATACATTGAGATGTATCCAGGTGATAGTTTTGGTGAACTAGAAGTTCAAGCTGTGGGTCAATGGAAAAAGGAACAAAAGCAATGGTGGAGTATGGATAGTATTACAGATGAAAGAGTGATTTGGAGATGTAGCAGTTGTCAATGTTCATATTTTGTTAGAGTATTGAGAGGAAGCGAAGAATGAATGGTGAAATGAAGGGGGATGAACCCTTGGTCAGGGGTATACATAGGTATGTATTTAACAACTTGTTATATAGCTCAACTAATACTAATAATTTTCCTTCAGTTCGCCAGGGAGTTAAACCTTTCACCACGTCGTCGGCATAAGAAATAATCATTTTCTCAGGGCATCACTTGACGCAACCCCTCAGTTCACAACTACCGTGATGTTATCACTTGATACTTACAGCTCAGCAATGTATTAGAATGGATCTAAATTGAAGCTTCCATCATGTGTACTGATGGTTGATGATCTTGTTGCAAAGGAGGCCGAAAATCTTGAGAGGAGGATGTAATTCTCATAGAGCACATCCAGGAAGACTGTAGCTCTAGTAGCTCTAGTGTATCCGTTCATCGCAAACAGCACATTTTTTGGGTAGAGCGACCAAAGAATGAGCCCGAGTACACATCGTCAGGAATTACAATATCCATACATCTCTAAAGAAACGGACTGATATGCAACATTGAATCATGATGAATTATGTGGTGATATTTGATATGACAATTAAGTGTGGTTCAAAATACCTACTAACCTAGCACCTACAGGGAGTTGAAGTAACTGTAGCGACCCACGATAAGCCCGATAACAGTCTGTCGCGCTAAAATATCAAACAATTGATGAAGCTCTCTTCCAAATAATCAAATTTCCATCAACCATCCACAACATAATATCAAAAGTTTATAATGGGTAAAGGTTCGTCGCAATAACATTTAAATCTGAAATACAATGGCATACTAACATCGATCTCTCATAGGCACGGATAAACTATACGTGAGCTTTCACCAGTCCCAGACTATGTACCAATGTCCAGTTTTCCTATATGCTAATCTTTACATGGCATTTAGATCACCCATTCCGAATGGTCATCCTCTGATGCATTCTCCGCGAGTAGCGGATCAAATGTTTCCCAAAAAGCTCCCAATGGCTCATTCAAGCGCCTTCCCTTCAACTTTTGTGCGGCGAGTTTACAACCATTCAAACATCCAGTCTGTACAGCAGAAGGTACTATATTCGATATAGAAGTTATTTCACAATGGCTCGAGAAGCATGGCACAAATCCTATCAATGGAAATCCATTGAGTGCGAAAGATTTGATAAAATTGAACTTTGCGCGGAATGGAGATACTGATGCGCAAGAAAGAGGATCTGGTGGTGCTGGAGGGGATGGCAAAGGAGAAATGGTGGACCCAGTTACCTTCAAAGTCTTTACGGATAATACGCATATTGTCGCTATAAGGCATGGTACCGAGGCCAACGTATTTGCATGGGAAACTGTCGAAAGATTGAATATCAAGGCAAAGATGTGGTTGGATTTAGTCGATGATAGAGAATTTGGAAGGTCGGATATCATAACATTACAAGATCCGCAAAATATCGAAAGTCGAGATCTTAGCAAGTTTAAATTCTTGAAAGAAGGAGAGTCTGTTTTGAGCAAAGAACAAGAAGAAGAGAGGTCGAAAGGTAGCGTCAATATTAATGCATTGGGCAGAGTTGGAGATAAAGTTTTGAGGGCAAAGGAAGCTGTTGAGAAAGCTAGGAGGGAAAGGGAGGCTGGCGGAGATGTTAATCGCACGAAATCAATGGTTAAACCAGGGTCGACAACTTCTATGGCGAAACCTTCATTATACAGGAAAGAGAAGATGGCATACAATGCAGCACAATATACAACAGGAAGAGCGGCAGCAAGTTTTACAAGCACGGGCTTGACTCCAGAAACCAGTGGAGAAAGAGCAATCCTTACGGATGAAGAATATATGTTAAAGCCGAAACGAGTTAAGATAAAGGGGTACGCTAGGATTGAAACGAATTTGGGATCATTGAATATCGAATTACAAACCGAAACGGCACCTCGCGCGGTATGGAATTTTGTCCAATTGGCCAAAAAAGGTTACTATAATGGTGTATCATTTCATAGGAATATCCGAAATTTTATGATTCAAGGAGGTGATCCAACAGGAACTGGTAAAGGAGGTTCAAGTATTTGGGGAAAGAACTTTCAGGATGAATTCGACGGACCTTTGACTCATGATTCGAGGGGTGTAATGAGTATGGCCAACAAGGGAAAAAACACCAACTCGAGTCAATTCTTCATCACCTACAAAGAAGCTAAACATTTAGATCGGAAACATACCATTTTTGGTCGTGTAGTCGGTGGTATGGATGTTACTCTCTAAACTCGAAAAGGTGGAAGTAGACGATAAAAGTCGTCCGATAAAAGACATCGTCATGGAAAATGTGGTAGTCTTCGTTGATCCATTTGAAGAATTCCAAAAACAGAAACAGGAGAAAGATGTTGCGGAGAAAGAAAAAGCGGAAATCATGAGGCAGGGAGGAACGGAAGATGATAAGACTACGTGGACTGGTAAACGAATTAGGGGTGATGGAACGGTGGTACAAAATGAGTCGACGGGTGGAGTGGGGAAATATCTTAAAGCGGGTGGAACGGATAATGGTGTTGGAGTTGTGGAAGTGGACGAAGAGGAGGCCCCAGTTAAGAAGAAGATAAAGTCGGGGGGATTTGGGAATTTTGATGCTTGGTAGTTATGGGAAGCGTGTTATGATGATGGTCATTTGACCCCTGAATTGTACTTCTCGCGTATGGATCAGGGGAAGAATTTCTGCAATAGGGAAAATATATAAGGAGTGTCATGCATGTTTTTCTCGGCCTAGGAATCTACAAACATTAGAAAGGAAATACATGGAGTATATGGGCTCTGTCACAATATTATATCCGTTTAGCGACTACCAAAAACCGGAAGCCGCAAAGAGTTCACATGTGCAGTTGAATATCAATAAAAAGCAAGTGTGTATTCTATGTTGGGTCTATCTTCACAAAAATCCACCGTAAGTTGTGCGTGGCATTGTATGAGCCAATTTCCCACCCACCCAGCCATGTCCCCATCCCTTCCCATGTGTCAAAGGATTTACCAATGAAGAATCATCCTTTGAGATCTTAGATTTTAACGCCCTCGCTGTGTATTATGATTTGAACCCCCTCAGAAACGCCGACCCACCATTTTGGTACAATTTCCCTGCCATCCATCTATCGCTTCATGTGAGAGTAATCGTTCAACAAATGTGCCATGTGAGTATTTGTAGTACGACCACCCTTTCTTGGAGCCTTTCTCTTCTTTTCCTTTGCCTTTGGAGCTACCTTGACACGCTTACTTGGGTCTTCACTGGCAGGTTTTTGTCCATTTTCGAGGAGCTTTCGAACAAGATCATCGACGCTTGGAAGTTCCGTTCGGTGCCACATGACTTGGAATTCGGATTCGACAGGATGAATTAATGTAGGATCATTGATCCAAATCATTCGTGCATGATTATCCTTTTTGTTTCTCGTAACCAAAATCTTGTACTCCTTTTCCAGTTCATTGATCGCATCTTCACAATCTGGCCAACCATCCTTCAAATCCTTAACACTGACACCTTGAGCATCAGGTTTATTTTGAAGATATGATAACAAAGCTCCCTTGTTACGAACACCAATGATGGGTCGATGCTTGAATGTGCCAGAATCCCAAGCTTGCACCTTCAACTTGGGATCTGCGATCCATTGAACTCGATCATGTCTTCTGAGAATTTGCGCAATGAGTTGTTTCTTACTCTGCTCGACGTGAACCTGACTCAAATATTCTAAAATTTCCTGGAAAGTTTTGGGTTCATCTTTCTTCTTCAAGAATTCGATAACGTAGGTGACTTGTGTAAAAGCTTCTGTTCCATAACCGGTGGCAGCAGGTTGAGAGTAAACGACATTCGTGGGTTCTCTCTTACGCTTAGGATCTTTGTTCTCGCTCTTCGATGTATTTGAGGTGTTGATGGAGCGGGGTGATGGGTGTACTGAAACTGGTGCAGTGGGACGCTGCTTGCTTGTAATCTTGGCTGAAGTATTTTGAATACCCTTTGCAAAGGCCGCTTGTTGCTTCTCCAGGAATGAAGACATGATGACGGTTAATGATGTTGAAAGTATTGAGATTGAAAGTCTCTTAATAGATTTCGAGCCCGAAAGACCTTTTTGCGTCTAGGCCTAATAGATGTTGTAAAACCGTAAAATGATTTGAGGTCCAGATGACGTCGGTGCTTAAAGATTAGGAAGGCTGTATGTCGATTTACTGATGCATGCGACGGGTAAGGACTGGACAATACAGTAGTATTCGAAATCGAGAGGTGTGGAGGGTTCGAGAGGATTTGGCGCAACTTTCCGATGGGGAAGTGTTGAAATAAGACAAAGCAGTTTATTACTCAGTGCCTAAGACTCCGTATTGTACTGTAGATGAGGCTGAGAAATTACATGGGAGTAATTTTTAGCGCATGTAGAACGTACAGGGCCCAAGCGTACGCTAAAGGAATTCCATCCACTCATATTATTCATTTTCCTAGGTTTGTACATATTAGTCAGCGCCTTCTCGTCCTGAAAGCAACATGGAAGCTTTCAAAGACTGATTGAATCTATTCAAGAAACTGACAACACCGCGATTTGATCATCGCTAGGTATTTCAATACGGATTCTTATTAATGTATTCATTCATTCCGAGATTTAGTATGGTCATACAATAAATGAAAGGAATTTCATAGATATCACTGGGGTTTCTTCAACTTTATTACTTACTTGTCATCTCCAGCTACCTTCACGTTCTCAAAGCAACGCGATCAACACAATCTCACCACTATTTTCAAATGGTCCTCTACAAAACACAACCACGAATTGTCTGAAGGAACCTTTTCAAGATGGTGACCGCGGTACTTGATGTCGATTATTGTCGGCATATTTAAGTGTGCGCAAACAGATCCTTGAGACAGTTGTTGATAATCCTACGGCGGATATTGTTCGAAGGCGTCCTTGAAAGCCGTTACCGCGAAGGCGCGCGAGCATGATGAATTGGCGGCAGATAAACTACGAGTCGATATCGAGCTTGAAAATGCTGTGAGAAGCTCAGAGACGCGCATTGAAGGACTTCGATCAAGTGTGGAAAAGGCGCAGAAAAATGTGGAAGAGTTGAGAACAAAGCTCAACGAGGAGGGTAAGATGTTTGAATTTTACTATACTATATGGTGATTCTGATGTATATCTTTTTAGAGGACTCAAGGTCATCTCTTCAAAATGAACTTCAAACCTTGAAATCTACTTCTTCGACGTCGACATCTGAATTAGAAACTTTAAGGTCTCGAATCTCTTCTCTCGAATCCTCGAATCGCGATGCATTAGCTGTCATCGAGTCAAAGACAACCGCTAATGGTGCTCTTGCACAAGACTTGCAAAAGCAACACCAAAAAGGATTGGAACTTAGTCAACAAATTACAGCCTTACAACAATCCGTTCAAAATGCAAACTCTGCGGCATCCAGTGCTAAATTCCGAGAGCAATCTTTGAAACAAGAAATCGAATTGGCCAAGCGCAACAACGAATGGTTTGAGAATGAATTAAAGACTAAAAGCGCCGAAGCTTTGAAGTATCGCAGAGAGAAGGGTGCACGAATTGCAGAATTGCAGCGTCTCAATGAAGAATCCACCTCCAATGTTGAGTCTTTAAGACGCACCGAACAAGCTCTACGAACCAGGTTGGATGAAGTTCAAAAGAAGGCAGAGGATTCACTTCAGAAGATACAGCAACTTCAAGAAGCAGCTGCAAAAACCGAAGATGGTTTCCGCCAGGAATTGGAAAGCGCACGTCGTCTCGCCGAGCTACAAGCCCAACAAACCGAGACACACCGACAAAGATTGAAGGAGGTCGAAGGGGGAGTAGAAAAAATCAAGGATGAAGCTGCCGAGGAAATGGTAGATGTCAACCAAGCAGCTGAGGCGGAACGACAAGAACGTGAACAGGCGGAGCATCGCATTTCGGAACTCGAAGCCGAGATTGATCGACTTGAAGCACTTGTGTCCTCACAACCTCATCCCGGCTCAGTGCCATCAACCCCACAAAGAGGATTAAATGGATCTGTGTTTGGAAGATCTGGCTCACCTGCTCAATTTGGTACACCTGGATCTTTGCGCAGTAAATCTGCCATCACGGCCACTCAAGCTATTGATGAGCTCTACAAAGTCAAGGGTCAATTGGCTACCGAGAAGAGACGAAGTGAACGACTTGCGGCTGAGATGGAGGAAATGATGCAAGGACTTGAAGCAAAACAACCCGAGTTAGAAGAAATGCAAGCCGAGCATGAACGTCTTCAACAGGAGGTAGTGGAGATGTCGAAGTTCGTCGATCAAACAGGCAAGGAACGTGATAGAGCCAAGAAAGATGTCAGGCGGGCAGAAAGTGAGGCTTCTACAGCACAAGCAGAGGTTAATATTCTTCGACAACAACTCAGAGATCTCAGCGCCCAGATCAAGATGCTTCTTTGTGATCTAGATGCGAAAGAAAGAGGGTTAGAGACTTTGAATGCTAGTGAGCGAGCACAAATGGAACGTCTAGCTCGAGGAGAAGTTAGCGAAGATTCATTAGAAGGAATGACTGATACCGATCGATTTATCAGTCAGAGACTTACCGTTTTCCGCAGCATCAGTCAATTGCAAGAAAAGAATCAAGAGTTGCTCAAGATTACTAGAGAACTTGGTCAAAAGATGGAAAGCGAAGAAGCTCAAGCTGCAAAGAATCAAGCTGTCCAGGATCACGAACAAGTACAAACTCTCCAAGCCAAGGTTGAGGACTTGAAGGATGAACTAAGATCTATGATTACTCGTTCCGAAAGTTATATCAAGGAGAGAGACATGTTCCGTCGTATGCTTCAACACCGAGGACAATTGCCTGCCAATTCTGACCTTCAATCCATGTTTGGTCAATCAGTGGATGGCAATGGTGTCATGTCAACAATTGAAAATCCAAATCAAAAGGACAATGCTAATTATGCAGCTTTGTTGCGTGAATTGCAAGGTCACTTTGATCAATACCGGGAAGAACAAACCGTTGATCGACGCACTCTTAGAGAGCAAACAGAACGACTTTCATCGGAGAAGAGCGCACTCCAAGCAGAGATTTCCAAGGCTAGTAGTCAATTAACTCTTGCCAATGAACGCTACGAAATGTTGCACTCTAATTACACATTGTTGCAGACAGAAAATAGCGAGTTGCAAAAGCGCTCTCAAATTCTTTCCGAGGCTGCTGCCAAGCAAGACTTGAGGACACAACAAGTAGCAGAGGATTTGATCGAAGCTAAGGGATTGGTGGAGAGCATGAGAAATGAAACCGCCAACCTGAAGGCCGAAAAGAAGCTTTGGAAGGACATCCAGGATCGACTCAGTCAGGACAATGAAAATCTCGCCAACGAACGCAGTAGACTCAATACACTTATTGCCAATCAACAAACTCTACAAAATGAACGCGAATTATCCGAATCCGAAACTAGAAGAAGACTACAGACCCAAGTTGAGTCTTTGGAATCGGAATTGAATTCCACAAAGCGAAAGCTTAACGACGAGGTTGAAGAGAGTAAGAAAGCACAATTGAGAAAGGAGTATGATGCTCAGCAAAATCAAAAGAGAATTGATGAGCTTGCGACTAGTCTCAGCCAGGCAAGAGAGGAACTTGTTGCAGCACAGACATCACGCGATCATCTTCAAGCTCGAGTAGATGAATTACACATCGAACTCAAGAGTGCAGAGGAACGTGTTGAGTTATTGCAACCAAGACCTACACCACGACCAGGAAGCAATGCTCAGGAGACAGTTGGACAAGATACAAGCGCCGAAGACGAATCTCTAAGTCGCGAACAAGAATTGGGAATTGAGCTTTCAGAGTTAAAGAGAGATTTGGAACTAGCAAAATCGGAGCTTGAGAGTGCAAAGCATCAAGCGGAACAATTCAAGTCTATCAGTCAATCATCTGAGGAGGAGCTACAAAGTCTTAATGCTACATTGGATGAGGCTCGCGAGGAGATGGATAAGATCATCGAGGAGAAAGATGCAAAGATTCGCGAACTCGAGCAACGAGCTGAAGATATTTCTACCGAGCTCACTAACTCAAACAATGAGTTGACAGCTCTTCGAAACCAACAAGGTGAAGTTGCTAGGCAAGCTGAAGAAGAGAAATCACGACTTGAGGCGGAGATCTTACGCTTGAAGGATGAGCAAGAGAAGGACTCTGCAGCCGCAAAATTCCATCAAGAAGACCTTCGTGCCCAAGCAGCCATTGCCACCAAAGCTCAACAAGATTACGAATATGAACTCGTCAAGCATGCTGAAGCCGCTAAACATCTTCAAACTCTACGCGTTGAATATAATCAACTGAAATCAGAGTCAGCAACATTGAAGGCGGAGGCCGAGTCTGCCAAGGTCACTCTGAGCCAAAGCGAAGCATCTTGGGAGGAACGACGTGAACAACTTGAACGAGAGATGGTTGAGTTGAAGACTAGGCGAGACGATGTCAATGCACAGAACAAACTTCTCCACCAACAGTTGGACAATGTTTCTTCACAAATCGTTGCTTTGCAAGAATCCCGATCCAATGCCCCAGGTGCATCGGAAGCTGGATCGCCAACCGCGGAGGGAACTACTGATCGTACTCTAGAAGGTTTGCGTGAGTTGAATACTTATTTGAGACGCGAAAAAGAGATTGGCGAGGTTCAATATGATATCAAGATTCAAGAAGCCAAACGTCTACAACAGCAACTCGAATACACTCAAGCTCAACTTGACGAAGCTAGACTGAAACTAGATCAAGAGCGACGTTCTCATGCTGATGGCGGTAAAACCTCCATTGCACACAAGGATCTCATGGACAAACTCAATGAGCTCAATCTTTTCCGCGAAAGTAGTATTACCTTGCGTAATGAAGCCCGCCAAGCTCAATCTCAACTTGCGGACAAAACCAAACGCGTTGAAGAACTCTTGGCACAAATTCAACCATTGGAGACAAAGGTTCGTGAATTGGAACATGGTAAAGAAACGATGGAGGGTGAAATGCATTTATTGCAGGAAGATCGTGATCGTTGGCAGAAACGCAACCAAGATATACTTTCCAAGTATAATCGCATCGACCCTGCTGAGATGGAACAAATGAAGGAGACTATTGAGACTTTACGAAGTGAGAGAGACGCTCTATTGGAGGAACAACAACCATTGCAGGAGAAGGTACAAACTTTGGAGAGTACTATGGAGAATGATAGAGCACAATGGCAAACTACCCGACAAAAGTTGATTGAGCAAGCCAAGGAGAGAAATCGCACTCTAACGAAAGATAAGAATGATCGAGCTGCAGAAAGAGATGTCGCCATTTCTGAGAGGGATTCCCTTCAAGAACAGCTCACTTCTCTCCAAGAACAACTTCAAACTGCTGTGGAAGAAAAGGAAGCAGCAGAAGTTAAACTTGCGGAGGTGGAACAAGAATTGAATGAAGTTAAAACTCATCGTGATCAGGCATTGGCTAATGCTGTTCAATCTGTTGCTTCACCCAACACCTCCTCTGCACCTCCAGCAACGAATGGATCGGAAAGTAACGAAGCTATCAATGCACAACTTGTTGAACTTCGTAAAGAACGTGATCAAGCAATCTTGGAGAAGCGAGCTCTCGAGGAACAAATCACAGAACTTAAACAACAACTCGAAGCTGCTAATTCCGAGAGAGATAATGCCATCGCTGATGCTGCCGAAGCACGATCACAACAAAAGGCTCAACCATCCGATGCCCCGATGGATGATGCTGCTGATGAGGGACAGATTGATGAAAATCAAAATGGTATCTCAGAGGAAGAGAGAAAGGCATTGGAAGCACGTATAGTTGTTGCTGAAGCTATGGCTAAGGAACGTGACGAGAAGGCAAAGGAAATTGAAGAATCTATGGAAGCTACACTCAAGCAACGTTCTGACAAAATGAAGGCAGCTTTGAATAAAAAACTTGGTGAATCCAAGGAAGCTCTTAGAGTACAACTCGAGGCTGATTTCAAGTTAAAACTTGAGCAAGAGAAACAAATTTGGCTTGCAGAGAACAAAACTGCTGATTCATCAGTTCCACCACCTACTCCATCTGCTCCCAAGGTAGAAGAAAATGCCGTTCCAGCGACACCTGCCACTCCAAGTAAAGCCGCCGCACCATCGGCTGATGGTTCAGATCTTTCGGATGATCAAGTTCGACATCTTTTATCAACAAATCCAACAATCAAGAGTATTCTTGCCAATAATTTGAAGAAGTTACTTGAGAAGGAAACCCAGAAACTTAAATTGGAGCAAGACAAATTGGTGACTGAAAAACTTGCAGAAGAAAGGAAAAAGGCCGAAGTTACTTTGTCTGAAGCTCAAGCAAAGGCCGAAACCAGTCAAGCACAGGCTGTTTTGATGGCAGAGAAGAAGTCATCATTGAAGCTCAACATGTTAGACAATAGGGTGAAGAACGCAACCGCAAAAATAACAGTTGTTGAAAAAGCTGCAACCGAAACCCCTGAAAAGCCGGTCGGCGAGGTGTGGGAGGTTGCGAAAAATGCCAAACCACCTCCACCAACACCAGCTGCTACAGCGGCTACAACTGCTTTACCAAGCCATCCGATTTCAGCAGCTCTGCCAGCAGCGGCAAATACCACAACAGCTGCTGTGCCCCCTACTAACGTAACCGGAACCCAACCCAATAGTGCACCGGTAGAAGCTACCAAGATTGAGGAGGTTGAACCCCCAAAGAGTGGTATTCCTTCTGGCCCACGTCCAATAACTCCATCCACCAATGGTGCCTCTTCACTGCCAGTCAGTAATATCCCATCTGTAAGCAACACCTCTAATTATCTAAACCTTTCACATCTAATACCAATGAATTATAGGCCCCTCAAGCAGGAAACCAATCACGATTGCCACAAATGCGTGGCGGTAATCAAAATCGTGGAGGTGGAAATATAGGTGCAGGTGGTCGTGGAGGTATTTATCAATCACGTGGAGGAGCCGCCGGTAGAGGAAGGGGTAATGCCACGGGACGGGGAGGAATGAATGCAGCAGCTCAAAGTTTTAGCCCAAATGCTCAGCCTGGACAAAAGAGACCTGTACCAGAAGGCGGTCAACAAGGAAATGGAGGGAAACGTCCTAGGGGTGGAGGAGGAAGTAATTAGTTGATTGGCAAAAGTTGAACTATATTTGCTTGTATTATATTTCAGAGTTGCATAGCCATTGCTTGGCCGTTTTCTTTTTCTTTCAAGAGTGAGGGAATTTTTTTAGGAGTTACGGAAATCATGTATGAGAAATAGTAGCATAGCTATACCTATGATGAGTATTGAGGCAAACGAATATCAGGAGTATAAGGTAAATCAAAAGGGTATTATTGATATTTAGATAAATTGCTAGGAACAAGCCTTCTAAGCACATCTACATGTCGACCGATCATCTTCATCTTGAGACCTTCCACACCACTCTTATCTATTCTACGTAATCCATTTCCATATATCACTGTATAATCTGGAATAACCTCATCTTCTTCAACCTCGCACATTGGTCCAATCTTGCAATGCTAAGTAAAGTATATCATTAGTATGTCATGGTAACATTTTTACTTGCGAAATTCATACCTTTCCTATGACAGCCCCTCTTCCCACCTTTGCATTTATCTCAATGAGAGTTCCTTGTCCCACGAATTTTGCCTCAACAATAGCTCCAGTTTCTACTATAACACCATTCTCCAATGTAACACCTTGAGCTTGTTCTTCGGATGGAAAATTCAACATGCCAATTGTACTACGTTCACCAATGACACATTGTGTACCGATTGTAATGGGAGCAAAACTGCTATTCAATTTTGTACGTGGATGAAGAATGGTATGTCCTCGAATGGTTATGAGATTTGTGCCAATGAGAGAGGCATGGTCTGCGATGGTGATATTGTTTGAGAATGAAATCGGTGGTTTAGGAGGTGGAGGGAGCATGGAAGCTCGTTTGGCAGAGGACATGATTGATGATAGGCGGTGTCAAGGCTTGAAATGTAGAATGTACTCTGTAGGTCTTCGACAAGGTAAATGCAGGGAAGTGCTGGTAGGTATTGGTAAACACCAGCCAGTACTGGCCAATAATTTGTTGTATTGATAAACCCGAACACGAATTCGAGGCTTGTGGAGGTGGTTGATGTATCTGCTAGAGGGTCAATAGAAGTTGTTGTGAGTAATGTTTGTACCTCATTGTATAGCAAAGCGTCAGGTCATATGAGAATGGACAAATCATATCAATTTTTGCCGCTTACTTCTATGAAATCTTTGAATATTTACCAATCTTAAAATAACCAAGTACAAGTATATTCAGATGATAATTCAAAGAATAAGAAGTTCAAAAGATAATAATGCATATTACCATTTGTTTCATATATGAATAGCAGAGTAGTTATTAGGTAGTTGAGAAGAAATCCATATATAAATTTAAAGTTCCAGATTCAGACTTACCAACGGAAGTTCTCGGCTATCGCCACCACTTTGTAGCTTTGTCATTTCAACCAATCAAACATTGATGATTTCTATGATGACTTGAACTATTCGGAAATATTTACAACCTCAACTTCCCCCCAATCCGATCACTCTCCACTCACAACAACGCTCAATTGAGCACAAAATACGAGTACATATCAAAATGCTTTCGCGAAATGCGCCTTCTGCAAAGGCAGCCTCTACACTCTCAACCCGAATCCTATCTACTTCTACAACAACAGCACGATTAACACCTTCGATTTCTTCGATACAACAATCTAGAGGACTTGCCACAGTCGCAGATACACCACCTCCACCAAAGAAGACACAATGGGGTGGATTAAGAGATCAAGATAGAATCTTTCAAAACTTATATGGGCACCACGGAGCGGATCTTGCGAGTGCGAAAAAATATGGTGATTGGCATAGAACGAAGGATATTCTCGCAAAAGGTCATGATTGGGTATGTTGGAAAGGTTTGCAACTATAATGTGGGATAGATGTTGACATCCGAAATAGATCATCTCCGAAATCAAGGCTTCTGGTTTGAGAGGTCGTGGTGGTGCTGGATTTCCTTCTGGTATGAAATGGGTAGGTTTGATGTTTCATAAAGCAAATGGATGAAGCTAAATTATGATAGTCATTCATGAACTTCAAAGGATGGGAAAATGACAACAAACCAAGATATCTCGTCGTAAACGCAGATGAAGGAGAACCCGGAACTTGCAAAGACAGAGAAATTATGCGAAAGGATCCTCACAAGCTTATCGAAGGATGTTTAGTTGCAGGAAGAGCAATGAACTGTACGGCCGCATATATCTACATTCGTGGAGAATTTTATCACGAAGCTACCGTTTTACAACGTGCGATTCAAGAAGCATACAAAGATGGATTAATCGGAAAGAATGCCTGCGGTAGTGGATATGATTTTGATGTTTATGTTCATCGTGGAATGGGAGCTTACGTTTGTGGTGAGGAAACATCTTTGATTGAATCACTCGAGGGTAAACCAGGAAAGCCTCGTCTTAAGCCACCTTTCCCTGCTGCTGTCGGTCTTTTCGGATGTCCATCAACTGTGGCAAATGTCGAAACTATTGCTGTTGCACCAACAATTTGTCGAAGAGGTGGAGATTGGTTCGCTTCCTTTGGTAGAGAAAGAAATGCCGGTACAAAACTCTTCTGTATCTCTGGTCATGTCAACAACCCATGTACCGTTGAAGAAGAGATGAGTATTCCTCTTAGAGAACTCATTGATAAACATTGTGGTGGTGTTCGTGGAGGTTGGGATAACCTTAAAGCTGTCATTCCTGGTGGATCATCTACACCAATTTTACCAAAGGATGTTTGTGATGATCAATTGATGGATTTTGATGCATTGAAGGATAGTCAATCTGGTCTTGGAACAGCAGCTGTTATTGTTATGGATAAGAGTACTGATGTTGTACGTGCCATCTCAAGATTGAGTCATTTCTATAGACATGAATCTTGTGGTCAATGTACACCATGCAGAGAAGGTAGCAAGTGGACTGAACAAATCATGAAAAGATTTGAAAAGGGTCAAGGTAGAGTTCGTGAGATTGATATGTTACAAGAACTTACAAAACAAGTTGAGGGTCACACTATTTGTGGTATGTATATCTTTTCCTTTCATGATGAATTTGACTGACGAATATCAATAGCTCTCGGAGAAGCTTTTGCTTGGCCTATTCAAGGTCTTATTAGACATTTCAGACCAGAATTGGAGGCAAGAATGAAGGATTATGCAGAAAAGAATGGAGGTTCAGCATTGGCTGGTGGATGGGACAATAATGCATTGCAACAGGGTAAACTTATTTCACCCGGTCAATAAATTAGAGAGTGAAGCGGAGCACGGATTGGGAAGTGAATGGAATGATCGACTGTTCATAGGGGGGATGTAAATGTATTTATTGATTTCAAGCATGGGTGCTTTTTTTCAATTGGAAGCCAATATTTTAGTTCATTTGATTTTTTGAGATGTGATATATTTAATACTGTGTGATGAATAACTCTGTATGTGAATCATGAGAATTAGATATATACACTACCGAGAGAATATTGGCATTTCAATAATACGTAGCAAATCATAGACATCGAGACACCCTTCAGGGGACACGATTAGGATGTTCCTAGCTAAGCGATCTTGTGTGCCACCTCACTTTTTACTCCACAAAGAACTTTTCCATGCAAGTCGGGTCGGGCATAAAATGTTTGTCATTCATTAAGCTCGAACTTCGTCATTGAGGTTTTTTAGTGATATAAGTACGGTACGGTCTTTAATATTTTAGACTTTCGCATACTGTTTCAGTGTTTCTTGAATATACGGGAAAAGATTGTTGTGGTTAAGAAGATATAAGGGTACTACAGTAGTTTCGGCTCGATTCGAAATTCATTCTTACGATAATTACAACTTGGGCGTAGGTGCCGTGGATTACTATAACTTGACACGATCCCGCGAAAAAGAAGCTTAATAAAATGGGTGTTTTAAAACATGCGGTAGACTTTGCTTCGGATGCTGGTATGACTTTTGTTCTTTCCCCTTTCCTCTTTTGTACTCTTACCGCTTCCCTCTACTCCACTGAACTCACGTGCTGTATTCTCCCATTCATTCTATAAAAATTATTTACTAATTTTGTGCCCTATGATAGCCGGCCTAGAAAAAACTCTAAGGTTGATACAAGCTTTATGTCAGATATGTGCATTTTATCCGACGGTTTTGGGGTGGATTTTGTTGGGGTTGGGGATTGGGATGGGGAGAAGAAGCGGAGGGGTGGAGGGGGGTGTGGATGCAAAGATGCAGGTGCAGATTGTGGAGAAGTTGTGGAAGGCGAGGAGAGAGCTTGCTGTTGGTATGTTTTGTTTCTTAGTGAGTGGAGAGTGAGGAGTGGGAAGTGGGGAGGGGGGGTTGGAGAGATGATGGGACTACGGGATGAGGGGATAAGGGTGAAATTTAGCGAGTGGAGGGGGATACTCTGGAATGGGAAATGAGATGATCGTACTAGTGCGCGAGACTCCTACCCAATCTCTCCCTGAATTCGGAATTCGAACCTAAGAACCATTGTTCGAGGGTCAGATTAAGGGGGATTTTGCCCACCATGTCCTCGATCCTCATCTCGAAGACAGGTTCGAAGAGCGAAGCGACCACTGAAGGCATGAATAAGAAAGAAGAGCCTAAGCTAACATCAACGTAGGACGTCGTTATATGCGTTTCTTCCGTTTCATCAAGAACTTCTCAAAAGCATGGGATAGTTTGTTAAATGAAGATGGGATGAGGATGTTGATTAATGTGGGCAAATCGGGATTTATGGGTGCTTATTTGGATGTGAGTTTCGTTTTCTTTCCTGCTCTCCTCCGCTCCTATATCACTATGCCTTTGCGCTCTCATACTCAGAACTCCTAAACTCCAACGCTTAGGCACTCCTGTCCTCCTTGATCTTCGCATCTCTAGAACTCCGCACTCCCACCCTTCGACATCCTAACACTCCTAGTCTCTTACACTTATACTCTCTTGCCCCTCTGCTCCTTTCCCCCTCCTTTCCCGCTTTCCGCTCTCGCTCTTTTGAAATTTGACTAACCAAGACCTACTCAAATAGTGGAAAAGTCTCACCATCGTAAGTACCGGCTACCCAACTACCTACCCAGTATTTCCTTACCAACTCCTTAGAAGAGGATGACATCAAAAAGGCACGTAAGAAAATTACTAATCCCAATTCATAAACAGTTAGATATTATGGGTGTATGCAATACCCCTTGGTCCTCTACATGTGCTCTTGAAGGCAATAAATTTTGGTTCTACTCACTGAGTATATCGATATTTGGAGGGCTATGGGATCTTTACCATCTGGTTGTCAACAACGGACACAACACCGAAATCCAACTCACAGGAAAATATACATGATCCAGATCTTGCAACAAAAACAGTCGATAGCACACAGATTATCGCGGAACATCCGGGGAAGAATGAGAAAAAGGGAAAATTCAAGACTGAAATATTGCTCAAAATTATTGAGAATGCAGCCGATCTTTTTCAACCTGGAGCGGGAACGGGGTGGATCGTTAGTGATAGGGGTATAGTAGGTGTGATGACTGTTATTAGTACAGTACTTAGCTCGAGGGATATTTGGAGGAGAGTTGGGCATCAAAAAGAAAGAAGGATAGGGGGGAACGGGGAAGAATTAGAACGGAGGTAGTAGAAACAATAGGGGAGAAGAGAATGAGAGACAAATGACGAGATTACACCTTGTTTTATGTGTATGTAAATATTCATGAGATATTATATGCTTATTGGATAATAAAAGGAATGACAAGATTATCATCTCTTGAATGGCATCTGCGTATGGAGATTGATGTGAGGGTATGAATGGGCAGAATGGATAGGATGTATGGTCCGTGCGGTCTAAGCAAATGTACGAACAGCTATCCGTGGTGTTGAAGAAGTTCAAGTCAATGAAGTATAATGTGATTATTATACTCATTTTCTGGGACTAGAAAAGTCTTGAGGTAGTAAAGCATCACTGCAATATGGCAGTAAGAGAATTTGGGAGATTTTGAGTGAGAGAAAATGAGGTTTGAATATGAAAAATATTACATAGTTAGGTAAACATAGGTATGTCAAGCAGCTATCTTCATGAGCCCAATATGAATCTTCATTTCTCATAGAATCAAAAGGCGGTAAACACATAACGCGCTAAGGAATTTTCTCCCACAAGAAACAAAGTTTGTAAAGGTATCTTGAACCTTCTTTCAATCCATCAAACAATCAACGTCAACCTCAACCACCACCGCCGCCATCCTTCAAGATGGAAGACTCTAAAGATACTGAGCTTTTGTTTAAGCAGATTAAAGAAAAAGTTACAAGAGATGGTGACGATCAAGGAGAAGTCACCGAAGAGCTTTCGAAAGTGAACTCAAGATTCTTCGAAAGAGATTAAGACTCAAGAATCCACGAGATACTCCTTTGGAGCATGACATTAGAACTGCAAATTCAAATTGCGCTTACTTCTGTATGTTCACATTCAATTTATTCCCTCTCTGAAACAATTAGTTAATCTTTAAATAGGGCATAAGAATGGCACCAAGAAGGCATATGAGCTCTTCCCCGATGCATTCGAGCCCAGATCGACACGAAAGGCTTCAGGAGTCAAGAATGAGAAGGTTGAGGAGAAACCTGTTGTGGCATCAGCATCATCAAGTCCATCAACGACTACGATTGCTGACATGCCGTTGCATGATTGGTTGGCTCTTAAACAAGGAGATCCAGAGACTGCCAAGGAGTTGATGGACAATGGAAGGCTGAGCAAGCAGAAAAGAAGGCCGAACAGGCAGCTTTGAAGGCCGCCGCATTGGCAGAGAAAAAGACCGAAGAGACCAGGGCCAAGAGAAAGTCTTCCGTCAAGAGAGAAGAAGGTTCGGACTCAGATGTTGATTTATCGAGCATAATCGGAATTGGGAATCCTCTTGGCGCGCCAACGAGGCCGCGGAAGAAGAGATGCTAGATCCTAAAGGATCTATGCAGAATGAATTCAAAGCTTGCGATAAGTGGATCAATTGGCATAATCAGAGAGACGCCTTGATCATTTACAAGGAAGGTGTTTATGTATCATTCGGTGATCTAAATCCGTTTGGTTTACTTGCGAAGAAAGAATCAAAGGAGGAATTGAAGGAGAGCGTCCTTCATCTCCTGCTGAAGCAGAGAGTGGAGAGACTCCAGAGACTATTACTGAAGGGGTGGAGATGCTCGGTAGATTAAGTCAAGAATATGAGGGGGTGTGAAGGGAGGTGGGGGTAGGGAAGGAAACAGGGTGGATAAAGGTTTATGAACTCTTGAGAGTTGATTGAGTGATTCCTGAAGGAACACAATACCTCCTGAAGGAGATGATTGCTATGATGAAGACTCTTGAGAGTTGGTTCAGTGATTCCTTGAGGAACACGAAAAGATGACTTGCTCTTTGAGCATAGTACATCGCATTTGGTATTTATAGTTATTGAAATCATACTTGTCAACAACACCTAATGAATTGCTGACTATTTTTATCTACAGATGTCATGTCATGGTGTTGTGAATCTGCGGTGAATTTATGTGTGATATATTGAGCATTCCGGAATCATTGTCTGGACAGCTGAATATATTTCTGCGGCAAAGAAATACCAAATGTACCGGCTCCGTCAAACTCCATCTCATGGGGTTACTCAACCGGAAACCCCTAAGTTATTCCATATCCCGACTGAGGATTTCTCGTGACGTTGCAAAATGGGTAAATTGAAAGCGTTTTTATGAGCAATCACAGAGTACTCTCTGGATCTAGTCAAAGACGGTGATTCATGATGCAAGTGCTTGACAGTGATCCCAAAGAAGTCACAAGCGAGCTTCAAAATACCTCCCGTGCCAACTTGAGGGTGGAGACATGCATGCCACTCCTTGCCAAAGTTGGGCTCGTACCTTTGGAATTTAGATTACTAGCCAAGATCTCCACCCCATACTACTGAGCTTAAAAGTCTTGACCAACTCTATTTGCCTCGATCCAGCCCTTGCCGTCTCGGTGGCATTCCATTGTGTGAGCAGCCACCAACACATAATTGTCATAACTTTAAAGAAGGGGTACTCTCCAAATGCCCATGAATGGATGTCGAATCAGTAGGCAGTCGTTGATCGACTAACAAAGCCATTCAAATCATGGGACTGAACGTCGCTCCGTGGTAAGAGATGATGTTGAAATTCGGTCCCGTGGTGCTGACGCTATTATGTAAGCCGTCAAACATCGATTGGCGGGGCGGGGTGAAGGGGTGCACGCGTACAACCACCTCATCCCTCAAACCTCACATTTTGCCCCACTTTATCTTCTTCTTCAAAAAGCTATATGAAAGTACTCTACCTTCTAAGATGTGCCTAATATTCTATTCAGTTAAATCTGTGAAAGTTGATGGATGCTATGATACAGAAGAATGGGTGCAATGTCAGTCCACAATTCCACTCCGTCTATCTAGCCTTTTCTCCATCCGCTACTACCGCAAATGAACACGACCACAACTTCAGGAAAGTACTGAGATGCTTACTCGTTACTTTGATACTAATCACAGAGCAATTAGAAGCTTGAATACGAGAGGTGGCTAAACACCCTTTACAATGCATGATAGGCTGCTACCTTGGAGATATCATTCTTCGAGATCATCTTCCTGTTCCTAAAAGCCAGATGTCTAGAGTCCAGTTTCCGTTCTTGAGCGGGCATAGCAAAACCGTGCTGCCTCCCCGTTCTTGTGTCTTCGATTCCTCTTTGCTGCTACTCACTGTACTTCGATTAGCACTCTAGTTGGGGAGGTTTTAAGTAAGCACCAGCAAGAGCAGCGAAGCCTTCGATATTCTTACGCAATTCCCACCGTACTGCTTGCCCTGTGATCAGCAATTGTTCCCGACCGCCTCATTCATTATCGACCCAAATTCTACCAGCAACGATAGGCCTTCGCCATTGTCCCAGAGGTATTGAGCCCCTTTGATCACCGGGTAATTGATAGGATTAATAGAGCGGCGGTCAAGGTTCTCTTTGGTAGCCGCTTATGGCTGGGTGCACCGCCGTGTGTGTGTTAACTGAAGTTATTCGCCGTATTCTTCGCGATAGTGTCAAAGCCACACCTCAATGAACATGATGATGGCCTCGCAATAGGTAACCAACATACTATCCCTCGAATCCTTCTTTCAGATAATATCATAGTGTCAGCAAAAGAGCCTCGAAGATTCAAGAGCCGCGGATTTTCAATATTTTTCGACTGTACAATCGCCCTCGAAAGCTTCGTCGACTCGACGTTTAACGCACAAGCCTTTATGCGATGCGCCTATCACCCAGGTCCCGTCAGACCATAGTATCTGATCCCATTATTCCAGAGTCTAATCAACGTGCCCGAGAACGAAAGCAAACCGCACCGCGTTGTGATAGTTAACGGGGGCTTACGGCGTGTCAAATATCGCTTGAAGCCGCGAAGGCGTATTATTGACCTTATACAATAATCGCTGAATTTGGCCGTTGCAACATTCTTGGGATGATTTGAGACGTGGCGTAAAACGGTGCGATTTCGATCTAGTTACAAGATTAACTGCCTAGGTACTTGCTGCCCTTGTTCTGGCGTCATTGCCGTAGGGCATCCAGAACGCGTTAACAGATCTGCCGTTCCGGGGTGTGGCCCAGTTGGGCTCGAGAAAATCTAGTGATTCGTGCGGCGTTTTCGGACTCCGTGATAGAGCTTACGAATCTGTACGCGCACTGCAATGTTTTAGAACCAAGCAATATTACTGGGAGCCCTTGGAATAGCCGTGGATCATTAAAAGTACTAGCCATTTCTGACAATCCTTCGTCGCCTACTACCAAGCCCCCTTTATTGCTGTTATCATTAAGTATTTATTTTCTTGTCTGTTACAGCGTTTTAAGCAATTACATAGGCTTTCATACCCTATATTGTAAGACCTTCAGGGCGTACAAAGGCTCAAGTGAACTTCATCAAAAAATAGGGGTTTTTTGGTAAATTTGAACAATCAACCTAATCAATTAGTTGTTTAAAATTCTCTACATTTAAGCTTTACTTCAAAATGATCCAGAAAAAGTAAACTCTTAAAGATTTCAGATTATACTAGTAGCGACGAATGAGCGAGGGATCATATATATTCTTGATTAAGCTTAGATTAACGTAGTTAACACCGAGTGGGCCATATCACCGAATGGGCCACTTCAAAATACACCAAAATTAACGCTTTTTTAATATTTGTATTTTAATAATCAATCATTATTTTTTAAAAGAAAATTAATATAAAATAATAATGAGAATTTAGCTCTTTATAAATCTATTTTTGATATAAAAATTTCTTATATTTTCTAAAAATAAGTAGAAATTGTCACGATTTTCGTTACAAAAGAAACATTTCTATAATAACTATTATAATAAATTGAATTTTCAATAAATAATTAGATTTTTATATTATTTATATGATTAAATTTTCAGTTTCAATCTTTAGAGAATTCTGTCTATAAATAAAGAAAGTGCACGGTTATGCACAGACGAATTTTGTATGTAAAAATGATGGCCCACTCGGTGATATGGCCCACTCGGTGTTAAACTACGTTATATGGGCTATATTAGCGTTCTCGGCGATTGACTAAAGATTGCAGTGCCGGTGTCTCCACAGATTGCGGTACTTGTTCTTCTA